TTTTTTTTTTTTTTGACTTAGTGGGAAATTTGGGGGAGCGACACATTCCGGTAATTAGTAATTAGCCCAGTTGGTAGGGTGCCTCGTTCACACAGAGAGAGACGGCGGTTCAAGTCCGTTTTAAGCGGAAACGGGCCACTTGTTTTGCTTTGGGTAGATTTCAATAGCGCCACAAATCCGCAAAGTCATAACAGGAATAGCAACCCGATAGCAGATTCTGCAGCAGCTACGAATATTACCATTGCAAACTGCTGGTGTCAACACTTTTTGGTAATCGTGCCTAAAGGTGCGAGGTTTCCCAGAAGCGGGAATTCTTTGTCAAATTAAATACAGTGAAGCTTATGGAAACACCTGGAATGACGAAGTCGTCCCGGGGACCATAGCCAGCCTTGAAAGGAGATCACTGGATTTGGCCAGTCCCTGGGAAGATCTCCGACTGTGTCTCCAAGATGCAGTTGAGAGTAGCCTTTGCAATACTTTTATCCATTTTTGGTTTTTTATGCAGCTAACGTACTGGGACATAATGATAATCATTTGCCTGCAAATCCTATGTCAACTCCAGCTCACCTATTGGTTACCATTGAAACTATTCTCCTCACAAAACAAAGTGTTGATTGGTTTCCTTTTCCTATTCTTTATTGGATTCCACGCTCGATTAGTTCAGTATAAAGGCCGAAGACTTTCTGTTTTTATATATTTGGCTTTGTGCAACTCAATATCATAATTAAATAGAGGACGCAACTATAAATATTAAATATAGATTCTGAGAAGAGCCATATGAGGCAAAAATCTCACGTCTCAGCAATGAGATGGTTTTAGGTTAACAAGAGGAGATGGCTGGTGGCAAGAGGAGTGAGATTCAATTGGTTCAAGGCTTCAAGCTTGTTTTCTAGTTCTTCTTCTTCTTCTTCTTCTTCTTTGTCGTCGTCGTCTTCTTCTTCTTCTTCTTCTGGCGTGATGAACTTCTTCTTTGTCTTCTTCTTCTTCTTCTTCTTCTTCTTCTTCTGGCGTGATGAATGGCATTGTCTCAGACATGAGTCTGCCCCTTCTTCTTCTTCTTCTTCTTTTTCTTCTTCTTCTGGCGTGATGAATGGCATTGTCTCAGATATGAGTTTGACCTTCTTCTTCTTCTTCTTCTGGCGTGATGAATGGCACTGTCTCAGATATGAGTTTGCTTCTTCTTCTTCTTCTTCTTCTCCTGATATGGGCAGGATCATAACACCCAACTTTTTACATGCCCGGATTGACCCGACCGGGAGACATCCCTGGCAACTTGCCTGCTTGTATGGCAGGCAGTGGCATGTATGGTAGCATAAAAACGAAATTTTCATCTCAATGCCAAGGAATTAGTGATAAATCAGCAGAAATGCTCAAAAGACTAATATTGTTTGCTTGAAAATGCTGTTAGAACAGATTTTGGGGCAGGTGAGTATTTGGGATAATGCTATGTGAGATAATTTGCTAACCTGCCAAGAATGCCTTCCTCTCTTCGCATCTGCAGAAAAACTGTTCATCCGATGTCAAGCAGAAGAAGACGCACCCTCAAGGCCAATGACCTTTCCTATTGCAACCGTCTTGCCTGCCACAGGGGAATCACAAACAGTTACCACCATCTCAATGCTGGCAAACAAATCAAGTCTCAAATCAAATCTCAAATCAAATCAAGTCAAGTCAAAACGTACCAAATAGATCAATCCAATCCGATCCAATCTGATCAATCCAATCCAATTTTATCCAGTACCATCCCATTCCCTACAGTCCCCTCCCCTCCCCTCCCCTCCCCTCCCCTCCCATCCATCCCCTCCCCTCCCTTCCCTGCCTTCCCTTCCCTTCCCCTGCCTGCCCTTCCCTTCCCTTCCCCTCCTCTCCGTTCCCCACCCATCCCAGCTATTGTGTCTGCACAAGTGGTTAACATGGCAGCGTGAAAAGGCTTGGACTACCATACCAAAATGGCTGGCGGTACCTGGTAGGCCTTGTACCACAACAGTTCATACTGTGAGGGGCAGTCATAGATGCGTGTAAGAAAAACGAGGCTCGAAGGCACTGGTCGTTTAAAGTGCAGTTGAAACTTTACAGGAAGGAATAGACGAGTGGTCGTACCTTCATCACGCAGAGTAAACCGTCCCAGTTGAGGGAAATCTTTGAACAACTCCACGCATATGACTTGTGCAACCTGATTATACAGAAAAAAAAAAAGATAATGTAAGGGCTTATTACGTCATGTACAGAGATATCCGGAATAAGATTATCGAAACATGTCAAACACGTTGAAATAACAACAGCCTAGTTGAGGCGAAGAGTAGGGGGCAAACGCACATACACAACGAACACAATAACATATGAAATATAATTTTCCTTCCTGCTTTGGAGTATGAATACATTTACTAACAATCATGTGCTTATAAAACGGCTCCCACATTCAGTGATCGGCATTCAGCAGTAGTGATCGGCGGTGGCACACAAATACAATTCACAATTGACAAGGGACGGTCTCACACAACGGTAGACAACGTGGCTGAAAAGCTACCTGCCCCAATACAGTTGAAGCAACAGATACATGTTTCGTTGAAATCCTGACAGATGCAATGACATCATGGGCTTAACCCCTTTAGAGATTGATGATGTATTAACTGTGAGAGATGTTCATCATCCTGCTGTCAAGTGCTCCATTGCATTTGGCACACAGCTTACGTTCCAGGTAAAGCTTTAAACCACCAGCACATGGCCCCAGCCAAGTTGAGAGTCCAAGTGAGCCTCCACTGAAAATTCAGAGGCTTGCGCGGCGTTGATAAAGTACATCGATCGCAGGCGGCCTCCGAAAGGAGCCCGCTGCCCATTGCTGGCATATACTGGGTGCGCTTAAGGGGGGGGGGGGCGAGAGGTGTGAGGTCGCATGGGATGTTATCGCACAGCACAAAAGCATATCTGGACGGAGCGACACCACAGAGCATCAGATTGCATCGCAGACAATCTTGCGGGTCTGAAAGACCGAGCCAATCCACATGTACGCGCTTGAGGTGGGCGAGAGGTCCATGGGACGTTATCGCACAGCAGAAAGACACATCTGGACTGAGTAAGCACGCAAAGCATCAGATTGCATTGCATTCA